CCATTGCATTGAGCAATGGGCAATTTATATTAATACAATTCTTACCCTATGTTCAGGATCTAAATAAATTATTTGAAGAGTTCAAAGAGTTGAGTCCTTAAGGGCACTGATTCATGTGAAGAACAGACAGAATTAGGAAATTCTCTCATTACTGTAATTTAATCCATGGGCAGAAGTAGCGTAAATTTATTGTGATATAAACCTTTAATCTAAACGTGTATGCTAGAGAAAAATTCTCACTTTTGCTGTTAAGACAGAGGGCAAAGCTACATGGTATAGCACTTTCTAATCCACATACTGGAACTCCACACCCAAAAAGTACAGTCTCCACTTCGCTACTGTTATCCACTAGCATGAACTAATGAAATTTGCATTAACAGTTTATCTTTACTAAATGCAAGGTTTTTTCTTACTTTTAAGTATTTAAAGATTTATGCTCCTTCAATAGATAACTGTTTTAAATCAGTCTGGCCAAACCCAATTTTTCCAACACAACTCATTTTTTTACAACAAAATTCCTAAAATGCGATTGTGTGCAGTGGTTTCATAGCACATAAGGAGTGTTTCACCAACAGTACATAATCCAAATAAGTACAAAAACCAGTATCAAGAAGATATACTCTAACTGGAGGGAGGTGGCAGGAGTCCCTTATGATTAAATTATGTAAGACTTAGCATTTGATTTGCCTTACTTTGAAAGCACCTCCATCAAACAAGGCTTGCTTCCACCATAAAGATATCAAATTCTTCGAGGGGGGGGAAATAAACCAAGACTGGAGATGGCTTAGACACTTCAAGGACTATTAATCACTTTATGCACTGAATTGGTTATTTTTTATATTTAGAAAAAAAAAAAATCACCTGACAACATTAGACAATACTGATTTACTACTACATCATCATATTTTTTCTGTAATGATGGATGACCTACAGTCAACAAACATTTGTGAAAACTTACAGAAAACCTGAAAGAGAAACATTCGATGACATTACAGTAGGTTTAAAACTTTAGTTACCGCGGTTCACAAGATCTAAATCTGTTTTTACAACAATGTATTTGCTTTGGTTTTATTTAATTGCAGTAAGTAGTCACAAGAGGTCACCATATTAAAATCTACAGGAAAAAAAACCCAAAAAATTGTTAGCTATAGAAAACATGCTGTATCATTCTGATTAAAAGAAACTGGTTTCACTTATGCAGGTATTTTTGGCATAAGAGCCACCACCATAATATAAAACATATAAACCATTTATTGGAAATTTTGTCTCTCTTGCTTTGTTTTAAATCAAATATTCAGCCGTGTATTAGGATAAGTGGCAGCCAAATGCAATCTAAAGCACTAAGGTTACAGTGCAACATCCAGAATTGCTTGACTTTGTCCCACCATAATATTTAAACTAATTTTCCTGTCTCTGTTGCATCTTGCAATAAAATTGGAATAGTTAACAGTCCAGTTTACTTTTCCATCTTTATATGAATTATTGAGGTGGTTCACAGCAGCACCATTACTTTCTAGCCCTAACAACTACAGTGATTAACAGAGTGCTAAAATTAATAAATAAGATAGTTTCAGATTTGTAGGATTAATTTTAATTAGTTTAAAAAAAAAAAACCACAAAACTGGGGGAAAAGCCACCTAAAATGCAGATAAGGGAATTTGACTGCATCGTTTTTATCTTAAAAATTGGGCCAACACCTGTCTGTCATTTTTATTAAACCACTCTTGTCAAACAAAATATATTCTAATAGAGTATGTAAGAGAAAAGAAACTAAGCCTAGTGATTTTTTTCTCTTATATTTATACTGATATGTGGTATCTCCATGCAAGTTAGAGAAAGATTCTGAGTCAAAAACTGCAATAATTGAGACTGTAACCACTATATGGAAAACTTCCACCATTCTACTCTATGTGCAAAAATAAGCTTACATAGATTTCTATTAAGAGAATGTGTTTAGCACATGACATCTAAACAACTGTTTAACGAGGAACCTGGGGCTTTTTTGTTTGCTTGTTTGGTAGGTTTTGTTGGTGGGGGCATGTTGGGTTGGTTGGTTTGGTTTTAACTGCAACCTTTTCTGTCAGCAGTTTAGATAATTTTGAAGGATCTTATCCTTGCACATTATAATCTTAAAATCTGTAATAAATTATTCTTGATTTACATTAAGGACCAAGCAGTGGAAGAAGGAAAAAAAAAAAACCTCAACCAACCAACCAAAAAACCCAAACAACTTAGTGGG